ATTAAAATTGTATTAATTATGAAATGCTTCTAAATAACAAATGCAAATTATATTTTAAATATATATTGAAGTAGGTATTGTTGGTAAAGTTATATTTCAAAACTCTATTCAATATTTTATGATAAATATACCCTTTCTAATATTTTTATATTTATTTAAAAGTGAATAAATATTATTTATTTAAATTAATAAGTAAATAAATGTATGTGTGTATGTATGTAATCTTATAAAAAAATTTATATGGCCTATATATGTAACAGATAAAAAATATAATTATATGAATATATAATAATATTTAAAAACAAATAAATATAATTTTATCTTATAGAAAATATAAATCATATTGATTTCTCACTAAATCCTTTTGGCAATTTTATAATTTAGATAAAGTCATATGATACTTTCGAACTTAAAAAAATAAATTATATTAGTCTCCTATAAATGCTAAAGTACTAATACTATCCATATGTCTGACTTAGAAAAAAAATTATTAAACATCAATTCACATTGAAATATGCATTCAGCTCTCAACATATATTTTAAATGTGTTCCCAAATATACTCCAAGTCTATTCTAAACTATCCATCTTAGAACTTTAAAATTCCCTTCTTTAAGGAGAAGCAAATATGAAATCACTATATAGGCATAATATTTTAATATTTTTTATTTATATATTTAAAATATAATATTAGTTTATACTTAGCCAAAAGGATTTTAAATGAGGTTGATGGATTTTAATATTTTTTATTTATATATTTATCCATCACCCACGTTTATTAGTAGGGGTTAGAGTGTGCATCGGACATAAATGCCTAATACGAGAATTATAAAGAATATGTTCATATCTTTAAAAAAAATAATTATTTATATATAAATAGTTATCTTGTCCATAGTTATCGACTTCAACCTTAAGTCTAACACACACACACATGACTCTCTCCATATAATGAGATGAAGTAAATAAATTGACATGCTCACATAGTCGTGTACTTACAAAAATATTAGCAAACATGAAATTTAAAAATAATCTATAAATCAAATCATATATATGTCAAAATAAAATTTAGCTTATCATCAATATGAATACATAATTTCTGAGATTTTCAATCATCTTGGTGCTACTATCCAACTTTAATTTTTTATGATTATTGATAATTGAAATCTTAATAGTAATATAAGAATGGATAACCATCACCCAGAAGTTTATCAACGAATTCAAATCATTGACAAAAGACAGTAACACGAGGGGCGAAGTATTACTTGTTTGATAAAATAAAATATAAACAAAAATATATAAAATAAAGTTGATAATATCATCATTTAGAACTAGTCTACACATGAGAACTTTATTTTATATATTTACTTACTATTATTTACTTCATCTCATTATATGGATCACTCCCGACTGTGGAGATCGAGTCGTGTGTGTGTGTGTGTTAGCAATTGGAACATTGTTAGACTTAAGGTTGAAGTCAATACCTATGGACAAGATAATTATTTATATATAAATAATTATTTTTTTAAAGATATAAACATATTCTTTATAATTCGCATATTAGGCATCTACGTCCAGTACACACTCTAACCCCTACAGAAAGACTTGGTTGACAATATCATCGAGGTATAATATTTTAATATTTTTTATTTATATATTTAAAATATAATATTTTATTTATTATATTATTTTATTTACAGAACATATATATTGGTACAAAACAAAAATACGTAAGTGTCAAAAGTTCAAAGATGAAATCAAAAGATTATATAAGATACATTAAGATAATGGATTTAGCCATCTTATTTTCTGTCACACCTAACAAAAGGATCGATCCGAGGTTACTTGATCAAAAGTTCATAGGTTGTATCAAATTAAAATATATCCAGACTTGCAGCATAATTCATAATTTTTAGAAAGAGAAAATTACCTAAAGGAATATAGGATATTAAAGGTAAACAATCAAAAGTTCATACTCCCGAGGCAGATCGATTAGCCTTAAAAAATGTTGAAAAAGAAAAATGAGCAAAAGTGATATTTTTATATATTTATAATATAATTATTTTTATTATA